TCACAATGAATTGCAGAATCACTTCCATAATTGGAGCCAGAGTCTCATATCTGATAATTCTGCAGAATTATGAAAATAGGATTTTCTCAGCAGTAGAACCTTTTTTATATATAAAGTTGGACCCAAGTACAATCTATGATTTTTGTTTTGACAAATATAAAACAATAGTGTTACAAAGGTAGACATACGAAAGTATTATTTAGTATCAACATAAGCATGCAAATATTGACATTTTGGGGGGAAATGACCAATATATAACAAGAGTCCTTACTATTAGCTTGAAAGGATTATACCTAGTATTATCTCAGAGCGACATTCCCAATTATTTTTCTTCTTCTGGAGGTTGTGTCACTCCTACAGGTAGTCCTCAACTTATGACCACAATTGAGCCCAAACTTTATGTTGCTAAGGGAGAAATTCTTTAAATGAGTTTTGCCCCATTTTACAGCTTTTCTTGCCACATTTGTTAAGTGGATCAGTGCAATTAAATTAGTAATCCTGTTGTTAAGTGAATCTCGCTTCCCCATTGACTTTGTTAAAAGATGGCAAAAGACGATCACATAATCCAGGAACACTGCAACCATCATAAATGTGAGTCAATTTTCAAGCATCTTAATGTAAATCATATGACCATGGGGATGCTACAATGGTCATAAGTGTGAAATATGATCGGAAGTCACTTTTTTCAGTGCTGTTGTAATTTCGAACAGTCACTAGGTGAACTGTTGTAAGTCAAGAACTACCTTTATTTGGTCAGAAAATAATTCAGTCATAAAAAAATAGTCTCTGAGGAGGATAAACAATCACATATCTATATAGTTGAGATAGGTAATTTTTAATGGCATTTCTTTTCTATCAGTTACTAGCGGTAAAACTAGTAATTTCCATTTTCCTTTTAAAAAATACCTGTGGAAACAAGTGTTTTTCTTTCCATCTTTTAAAATCCTACTACAAATTATTTCATTGGATGATACTTCTGAGGCTTTGGATCTCCTGAAGACCAAAATGTTATGGTTCTCATTATTTGTTTATACTTTTCTTAAAATAATAATTACAAAATTAAGACTTTTTATCAGTTAAAGAAATATTCCATTCCCTTCCTGGTCATTATAGTTCTTTTATGAGCTGCCTCCAGAACTGTGTATAGTTGCATAGCGCTCAACTTAACAACCACAATTGGGATGAGAATCTCTGTCACGAAGCACTATTGCTTAGTTATAAAACAGCTGCTATTATGACAGTATCCAATTTTATAATCTTTTTTGCCCTGGTTGTTAAGTGAATCTGGCTTCCCGCCATTGACTTTGCTTGTCAGAATCTAACTGGAAAGGTCACAAATGGCAATCACATGACCCTAGAATGGTGTGACAGTCATAAGCAACAAGGACAGAGGTGGTAGTCAGCCGATTTGGACCTGTTCAGGTGAACCACTAGTGGAAATTTTGAGTAGTTCGGAGAACCGGCAAATACCACCTCTGGCTAGTCCTGACCTCCCACCCCTGTTGTTCCCTGTTATATAAATTTCCTTGTTTTTAGCTCAGCTGATTTGGGTGGCAGAGCAGATTGCCGCACCTCAGCTGAGCTAAAAGTCAGCTCAGCTGACACCAAGGGTAGTCTTTGAGTGCTATGCGCACAAACCGTGAGCACACACACGCACTCTTATAGAATTGGTAGCAAAAGATTTGGGATCCCACCACTAAACAAGGACTGATTGTAAGTCATTTTTTGGCACTATCATAACTTCAAACAGTTACTAAATGAATGGTCCAGTTGAGGACTACCTATCTTTCTTAGCAGTTTGTTAACTTGATTTTAAAAAAGGAAAAAAAAACCCAAAACCATTAAAGGTCATAAAGAACAATTGTGAATTACATTAGGTTGTGCACACTTAGTGGAATCTTTGAGGTCAAACAGGAAAACTCCATAAAGACTCCATTAATCAAGGTGGGATTTCCATTGCACTACATAAATCTTTATCTTAATTTCTAATAATTGAAGCAAAATGCTCTCTGTGCCATTTGACCCTGTTCTCCAGTCTTGGCCATCTTTTCTTTTGTGTTGATTTGGCAGTCCTCTTAGTTCACTCATCTGGTCTGCCCATAGCTGCTGCTCGCTTTACAAAAAGATGCTGAACTTGCTAGAACTAGAAGCTTATTTTGGAGAATGCAGATTGACATTCAGATGCAAAATGTCCGGATTATGTCACACTCTCCCATTTTGTTTGCATGACTTTCTATGAAACCAGAGGCAAAAAAGCTAACTTTTCTCTCTTTTTATTCCTCCCCAGATAAAGGCACTCAGTGGGTCTCGTCACTGGGAAAGAACCACGGCTGCTTGCTCGATCAAGTCTATTTTGCCAGGGACTGTCCTCAGTCCTTCCGGTGCCTTCACCCCTATGGGCAGGCGGGGGGCAGAAGAGAAAGCAGCAAGGGGCAACGAAAGGGCCCAGCCCTCTCTCCCTATCTCCCCTTCCCCCCCCCAAGCAATCACTGAAGAGTCTGGTTCCAACAAGCACCTGTGAGAGAAATGGATGTGTGTACTTGGGCTGCAACATCGCCCCCCTTCTGGCACATCGTTTGGCGAATCCCAGCAATGGTGTTCCCCCACTTTACTCCGGCAAGGGGCAGCAACCTTTGGCCCAAGGCCTCTCCCCCTGCATTCCCTCTCCTCAATATGCATTCATACACACTGCTGCACTGAGTAAACCTGTCTTTGATGCAATTAAAATTGATGCTTGAATCATATCAGAAGTCTTCTGATGGGGGGGTAGTGCTAGGTGGGTGGGGAGAAAACCCATCAAGGAACTCCCTTTCTCATGACCCTTGAATGTCCCGCTTGCGAGCACATTTTTTCCCATCTACACATTTGATCCAAGGGGAGGTAAGCGTGACTACTGGAAGCATCACACAGGATAATTAAAATGGACTTGCTTCAAACAGACATAATGGGATTTGCTAACTGTAAAGGTTAGGACAGCAGCATGTGAGATGGAATTTGTGAGACACACAGTCTCTTTTTCCTATTAGGGTGGAACTCTGTTTTGCATTTTAGTGCTAAATCCTCTGCCTCCCCCATCCCTCCATCCCCTCAAGGGAACTTACTGGGTAGCCCACATGAGAAAGCAGAGAAAACTTTTCTGATCTGTTGGCCAAACAATATTAGCAACACCTCCCCAGAACTGCCCATTGTTAACTTTGAATCTTCCACCAATTTGCTCAGTAGGACTTCAAACCTCTTTATGACCATTTTGAATCCTGAATTGGAACCCCTAAAAGTTTTCATCTTGATTCTTCCTATTTCATCCCCTCCCAGGCATAGTCACCACTCACTTGGTTGTCAGTCCTCTTCTCATTCTCTTCACATTGGATACTGCCCTTTCCAGCTATTTTTTCCTATAGTGTTTAAACACCATTTTGTCACCAGTGAAAAAGTTATTTCCACAGTACCAGCTGCATTGGTAGAAGGAGAAACCGCTAGATTCTGTCATCACTTCCTTTCAGTTAAGAAGTGAGAGAATCTTAGGGGTCAGCCCCAAGTGACTTATTGTGTCCTTGGAGAAGCCATTCATTTTTAAGAGGCATAGCAAGGAATTCTGTACCGCTGTTTTGTTAGTACTTATTGACAGTCAACCCCCCCCCCCATTTCAGTGTGTTGGTAAATCACCAGCCGTGCTGTAACAGATAAGCCTTAATCTTTGAATATTGGCCTACTTAAGCAATTGCCTACCATATCTCCCCATCACAGCCTAGAATCCATTTTACAGGAGTTTTCTTATATATCTACAGCACATTCCTAAAATGCAATTTAAATTTCCTCTTCTTTCTCCCCCACTAAGAAACAAAAGAAAGTTCTGAATTGTGGGTGCAGTTCTTTGACTCTTGA